TTTAAGGCCCCTTCCAACCCAAACCAGTCTGATTCTGTGCAGTGGCTCTGATTTGCTCAGATCCTTGGCGTAAGCAGGATGCGATGGGGACAGACGCAGCCCCTCAGCCTAGGTGACTTGTCCCTGCATGGGCTGTGGGATGCACACCAGCACCTCTGTCCCAGCTCAGCTCTGGTTTTCCTTTCAGATGGGCTCCATAACTCACCAGACCTGTGGAGTTCACCAGGTGCCATGAGCCAGTCGAGTTACGGTGCCATGCTGGGCAGCTCCTCCTCTCCACTCCCGCAGTCCAGCGGCTTCAACAGTTTACATCAGCACGAACGCATGGTAACATGTCCCCACACTGCCCCACGGGTGGGCTGGGGGGCTCTGCTCGGCCGGCCGGTGACGGTGTCACCTCGCCCCATAGCTTGGGGCAGCTGCCAAAGTGCGGGCCTGGGTCCTGGCCGGGATACCAAAGCCCGGCAGCCTTTCGAGGGCACCTCTCACCCCTCTCCCCCTCTCTGCCAGAACTACCAGCTTCATTCAGGAGAGGTTAACGGCGGACTCCCCTCTGTGTCTGGCTTCTCCTCTGCCTCCACGCCATACGGGGTCTCCAGTCACACGCCCCCGATCAGCGGGACAGACAGCATGATGGGTACGTACGGTCCCCGGGCGTACGATTGTCCCCAGCACCATCCCTCCAGGTTTAACTGGAAAATCAAACTCCTGTGCATCCTCTGATGCCCAAGCTGTGACATCTGTGTCTGATGTACCCAGACACTTTTTATCCCTTGTGCATCACTCATGCACAGAGTTACTGCGTGAGGAAGAGGAGCAGTGAGGTTATTGCTGCTGGATGCCTGGGCAGGCAGGAGCAGGGGGATGGGGAGCTGACTTGGGGGTTTCCACCTCGTTTGGTGGATCTGAGGGGAGATCAGGATCTGTGACATTATCTCATAGAGGTGCTGTGGCTTAAATTAGTTGCGGGAAGGATTTGCACCTGCGTTGCGGGAAGGCGGGGGTATGTGTGAAGCCGTTCATCTAAATCTGGAATAGGAATGTTTGTGCTGCATTTGGATACCACGTTAAACCCCCGAGAGCTTTTGAACCTGTTACAAAACCTGCTACTGAAATAAACTCATGTTCCCCAGGAAATTAGGATCCTGACCTTGATTCATAGAAAACCCCTTGTTTAGAGAAGGGGAAGCAAGTTTGGGGTTGTAGGGGCTTAACATGTCCTGTGGAAATGGGCCATGCTGCAGCAAGAGATGTTTGATCACTGTTGATGGCACGCCACCTTCGACCCAGTTCTGATAAAGACATTCCTGCAGCTCCATGAAAGCTGCCAGGGCGTGTGTGCCCTCGTCCTGGCTGCTCTGAGCTGGGCATCCATTTAATTGGCAAGCAAAGCAGCAAGAGTGAGAAATTTCAATCTCAGAGCAGGCGACCCCAGAGAAGGTCTTGCAGGAGTGCCTTGTCCTGCTGGGTTTCTGGCGTCCTGGCAGTGACATTTGTGTCCTCTCTTGGCAGGTAACAGAGGAACCACGGCTGGGAGCTCAGGAGACGCGCTCGGGAAGGCACTAGCTTCAGTAAGAGTTTCTGTGAATCCTTGAGCTGGTTCCTGTCCCGTCGCAGTGTTGTACCTCCCCTCTGTAACAGGGACCCTCTAGGCAGCGGGGAAGATGGGCTCATTGAGAAGTTTGGGTGAATGCACCCCAAAAACCTGGCAGCCTCTGAGGGGAGGGTTTAACCCCCTCTGTGTGCTGCCATCCTGAGTCTTGGCACTGTGCAAAAGCACCTTTTGACAGAGGGGGAAGCTGAGGCACTGGATGATTTGGTGGCCCCACAGACCCATGAGCCAGCTTTGCGGCTGCCCAGCCTGGTACTGGTCTGGGAAGATGATTCTATGTGGCCCTTGTAGCAGGACTTGCAGGTCCCAGTAGTCCTGGCCCTGCGTGTGCTGGTTCAGACTGGAAGGCACTGGTCCCTCTGGGCTGTCAGAGCTTGGGGTTGCTTCTGTCCTGTTCAGTGCAGGGCCCTTTGCTTCTGCCTGGTGGCAGAGGGGTGCTCAGCGCTTCCCTCTGAGGTGGGACCCAAAGAACAGTGGCTGTAGCTGCAGGGGGGGTGGCAGTGGGGACAGAGAGAGACCCCAGCGTTAACGAGGGAGCTGTGAGGGGACGAGTGGGCTGGGAGCTGGTGTGGCTGTGGGAAGGGAGGTGCCATCAGATGGTCCCATTGGGTGGTCCTTGTGGTGCTGCTGGGGAGGGGGAAGAGCCCTCGCAGGGGTGGGCGCTGCTGACCATGTCCTGCTTCTCTCGCTCCAGATTTATTCCCCCGATCACTCTAGCAATAACTTCTCATCAAACCCCTCGACACCGGTCGGTTCCCCTCAGGGGCTTGCAGGTAGGTGAAAACCTTGCTCTCTGTGTAAAGGGGGATGTCAGGTTTGCTTTCAGGAGGTCCAAGGCAACGTTCTTCCCAGATCAGCCTCAAACCCTCACGAAAGACATTTTTGTCAATCTCGCCAAATCCCCTTTGTTTTTAAAAGCAGGAGGGTGAAGAGGAAGGACAAGCAAACTGGAAGATACTTTTTAAATGTCTCCTGTGAAGTTGCATGTCCATCTTCTTTAATGGATTGTAGCTTTTCTTCCATTTGGAGCTGAGCAGCACCCGGGTGCCACAAACACGGTGTGTGTGAGGGCAACGGCTCTGCCCCTGCCCGGGGGTGGGAGCCTGGCCCGTGTGGTAGCACAGCCACAGTCACCCCCCGGGACCTGCTCCTGCCATTCCGACAGACCCCATCCCTGAGCTTGGTGATGCTGGGAGAGTTTGTCCCTGGTTTTGTCTCCTGTGGGAGAAGCACAGTGGGAACTGGGAAGCAACTAGTGGAAAAACCTGAGGAGAGCCCATCTCTGCTCCTGTCCGGCGGGAGAGGTCTGGTTTCTGCCCAGCGGAGACTCCTCGGTGCCCGGGGTGCAGAGCAACATAAATCTGCCAACCTGCTGCTCCCCTGGGGTCAGACCAAGATCATCTAAATGTAAAAACC